TGTGCATGATGTTGTGGCACATCCCAAGAATCCTTCCTATACTTGAAGTAGAACCAACTTCAACTACGACTAAGTGATAAAATCATCTATTAAGTACCACTGTGAAATAGAAACGTGGATGCCCAGACCAGGACGACTCGGATGGATAAGTACTATATATAGTACATGTCGCCCACCCGAAAATGTGGGGGAAGGGGGCACCATCAAGAAGAAGAGAAGCAAAAAAAAGCAATGGAGCGGCACTTTCACGCCAAAACGCCGGACGGTCATTTGGGTCTCTTCTTCTTCTGCTTCACTGCAGTCGCATAGAACGGGAGTCCCTTTCATGACGCCACACTTAACCGCTAACCGTGAATCGGCGGGACCGACTAAGTCACGGCACCCATGAAATCACGGCCGTGAATTTCATGCCGTTTCAGGACGCCACACTTTCGCACGATTACGACTAATTCAGATAACGACCGGTGCCTTCTTCGACAGACACAAAAGACAGAACACAAGCGTCAATATGACCCTCGATCCGAACCGTACGAAAAACTCGCAAACTCGATTGCCAATAGACACAGACGAATCATGTGAAAAAAAATAATGAAATCAGTAAGGTGACTTCCGTGTCCACAAAAAGATAAAACGGTGAGGACTTTGCCATCGAAGAACGGTAGACCAAGGATCGACGACGATGGGACGATACCAAAAGATTTGACTTACCATTATTTGAGAGTGACGGTCTCCCCCCCCCTCTCTTTGAGGTGTGAGGTCGAAATTTTAGGTCCTTTACGGAAAGACAGTGGTTCTTTCGAAAAATTATTTGAATGTTTTTTTCAGACTTTTACCTGATACATTTTTACTACTCGAATCAATGTCTGTAAAGTTACACCGAATACATCGTACATACAACAGTCAACCCCTTTGTTTATGATGTACATACTTTGTTGGTCTAATTTTGTCTCATCTATTTTATTTATGCGCGAAATTGAAGTCTGCGTTTCAATCGCCTGATATGTCCATGACACTCAAACTACTGCACGGACACCTCCCACACACAATGGACCAGTTCCCAGTAAGGGCTTCCCGGTTAGCAATGACCAATGGTCAAGTACCCGGTCCAGCAGCCAAGAGGACAAGCTCAGCGTATAACGGAGGACTTCTGCTGCTAAGAGGGAGATGCTGTGGTGCGTGTGTGTGTGTGTGTGTGTGTGTGTTGTGTGTGTGTGTCGTGTATGTCCGTGTTACCACACTCACTGTTTGAACATCTTTATTAGTGTACGAATTCTATGGTGAATTGTCGTGTTCGAGAAAAACACTAATTCACTAATACAGTCCCTAGAGTCCTTAGAGTGACGTCTTATACTACAAAAACAAATACTTATATTGAGTAAAAACGTGGTGTGTGCAACCACTATATAGACATTTGTCTTCATTTACGATTGTTTGGAAAAAACAAGTGAACCCTGTTAATTTACATTAGATATATGACATCGATACAGGACTTTCAGCTCTTCTACTTAGTACACGTCGAAAGCAAAGACTTTTCTTCTTCAGTGTGTGGTTAGATTTCCAGGGGAAACATCTGGTGAATCCACCAGAGTACTCGAAGACCACAACGGATATTTGTCAGAGTGTACGTCCTGGTTAGCAACTGTTCCAAATACACGCCAGTGGACTGTGGTGCCGGGACAGGGGATGTTACTGTTGTGTATGTCTGTAAATGTGTGTGTGTGTGTGTTGTGTGTGTGTGTGTGTGTGTGTGTGTGGTGGGTGTGTGTGTGTGTGTGTGGTGTGTGGTGTGTGTGTGTGGTGTGTGTGTGTGTGTGTGTGTGTTGTAGTGTGGTGGTGTGGTCGTGTTGTGTGGTGTGTGTGTGTGGTGTGTTATTAATGTTATTACATATTTTATCATATTCGACTAAACGACCTCGTGGACAAATTAATTAGTAACATCAAATTGTCATGCTAGTGTTTGTGTGGTAAATCTTGTGTACATTTTCGAGAACGAGAAGTCTTACTCTTACCGTAAATAAAGGACAACTACACGCCAAATTAAACCGACCAACAAACACACCTTTCAATTAGTAACCGACAGTAACCCAAAATCTGACCAAAGTCAGAAATTGTAGAACGTAAGAGATCGAGAAATTGTAGAGTGATTTACCAGTATAAATGTTGTACCGTTATAGTTAGTCTCTATATATTGTAAACTGTGTCGAGATGCACAAATCCATTTATACTACAGTAAAACCCCACCTCCCCCTGCGAACCCGTATTTGGTAGAGAGTTTCCCTTTAAGAAACAACCGTCGTCTCCGCCGACATGGACGACGCAAGTAGTAAATTTGCAGGGTGTAAATTTCCCAAAGGTATAGGACCCGGAATTGAGAGAGAAGGAGAGCGAGTCGAAAAGAGATGTGTAAAAGAAGTAAAATATGCCTAGTTTAAACTTTCGCAAGTCTTCTTCATGTGACCTAAACATGTATACATCTAATAAATACCGTAGGCAGACACACATTTGGCATGTACGGTATGTTTCTGTTTCATGTTGTGGAGTTTGTTATGACACTGTAAGGGTTAAATGCCAGCATGGACATGAACCTCAATTTGGCATATCTTTTTAACGATGATGGTATTGTTAGTTCAAGAGTTTAGGTTCTTTCAATATGAAAATTGGACACGATTCAATGTCGGTCCTTGAAGGGGACGGAAACAGAAGAACGAGACATTGTTACTAAAGGCTCGACGTCTCCTTTACGGGACGGGTTGAATGTTGTTTCCAGGAAGGAGGGGAGCTTGGCGTCGCGAATGTGTCGGACGACAAGGGCGGTTGGTAGTACACAAAACAGTGAGTATTACAAAAATAAAGTACAAAAAAACTACTCGCTCAGGTGTGGATGTGGTTTTGTAGCGAGGAAAAAAAAGGCTGCCTAACAAAAAAAATTCAGAGTCTAACGGGGCGTGGTTTGCAATTCGCCCAGCCAATAGAAATAGAATAGAAATTGGCACTCTTTTATCACCAGGTTCGTACCACCTCTCTAGCAGGGACTGAAAATGGCCAAAAGAGTTCCCGGCACTGAGTAGTCCCGGCGGTGTGAACGCAACATTATTGGTACTAACGGAACTAAAGAACCAAAGTACCAGGGAAAGTCCTGCGGTGTGAATGCGGCTATTGTGTTAACTCGTTTGGACAGGGCTTAAATCTAACAGAGGTTCATTGATAGGTAAAAGTTTTGCAACACAGATTTAAATGCTCTTCCTCAAAAGCTTTTGTTAAGGTGCTCATAAGCAATTGACTACTTTGGCTGTACTGGACAGTTCTAAATGAGCCTGTAGAAAAGTATTAATGAGTAAAATAGTACAGATGATGAAAGTGCACATTTTCCAGTGTGTCAAGTTCTGAATGTGTTTGTGCACTCTGGTGGGTCTGTGCTACAGTTGCAGATTGGTTGTTTAATGAATGTTCTGGTGTGTGTGTTTGTGTGTGTTCATGCAGGTCGAGGACAAGGCCGATGTATTAAACAAGGAGTTGCTGAGCACCAAGCAACGACTGGTGGAGACAGAGGAGGAGAAACGACAACAGGAGGAGGAGACGGCCCAGGTATCACCTGCACTCTCTGTATAAGCTCAGCCTTAACAAACCACACGCCTCGTTGGTTAATTAGCTCAGTGATCTCTGCAGTCAATGCTTGAATATCGTGGAGTTTAGTTTGGTAATAACACACACAGATTTGAGCAATTCTTTATGTTGCAACAGTGTGTCTCCTGTGAAGTTGGCCAAAGGGCTTCACTGTTCAGCTATAATACTGAAATGCACAAGTAATAACACACTACTTAAATCAGTTTTAGTTATGGACCAAATCAAATGTATCCCTAGGTGGCTTTACTGACTATAAGTCGCCTTGTCATAACAGAATAAGTGTGCTAGTTAAAGAAGCAATCCAAAAGAGTTATCTATAAAAAATCTGAATTGAAATGGTACTCATTAGTTGTGTTGATCAAGAGCGTAAACAAACCACAAACAAAATGTATGGACTCTATTGGTTGTAACCTTTAGGGTACCTTTAAAACCAAGCACAACCTTTCCTGTGAGTGGTGGTTTATAATAAAAGTAGCCAGCATTGCTAAAGTCATATATTATGTTTTGTAAATGAGATACTGATGTGTGAATGTTAATGATTCTTACCAAAGCCCTGACATTCGCATTAGCATAAACATTGTGTTCACCGTTCTCATTCGTGTGCACTTCAATGTATTTGTCATGTTGTTTTGTTTCTCCCAGCTGAAGGAAGTGTTCAGGAGGGAGCTGGAAAAAGCCGAGCTGGAGATCAAGAAAACCACAGCGATCATCGCTGAATACAAACAGGTTTGACTGTTTCAATAACCTAAATAAATCCACCTGCTGTACAGTATTCAAAGTAAATGATTAGTGTCACTCTGACCATTCATACCCAACTAATAGTAACTGTTAACACAAAGTAACAGGGTAATACAGATTGCACTACACACCAGATGAAACCCAAAGAACATGGATGTTTTTTCTTGAATATGTGAAAATATGTATGTGAAATTTATTTTTAAGGAAAATATCATAATGCTGAGTTTTATTGAAGAGTAAAATAAACTTAACTGAATGTCTTCTCTTGAATCATGCCTGCCTTACTCCTTTAGGCTTTTTATCCCGTGCACAACAGTTTTAAAATTAGCCTTTTTGCTTACTCAAGCATATTTACATTGGTGTTTGTACAATGTGTATTTTAATAAAGAAATTAAAGTACAGTTGAGTTTAAATGTGTTGTCTACTATATAAACAAACTTCCTCTCCTTTTTTCAGATATGCTCCCAGTTAAGCACCCGGTTGGAAAAACAGCAGGCGGCAACAAAAGAAGAGCTGGACATCGTCAGGGTGAGATCACACTGTAATAAACAGCTGATGCACGTTAGGGAGACATTCAAACCTAAACTAAAACCACCATTTGTTGCATTAGGGAACATGTTTCTTTGCAGCATTGTTCTGTTAGGACACACTCAGGTTGAAACATTATTACACTAATAAAGAACCCGATTGCACAAATGATCCCAGGTGGCTCGTTTAGCCCCCGTCAGACATGCAACGTCTCGCTTGGTAGGTGTGGCAGTTTATCCATCCTGAAGAAGAGATCAGTCTTTAATGTTTTTCCAGTTTATTCAGGAAAGAAATGCCGTATACAAGTGTTAATGTCACACTTTCTCCTGTGTGTCTCGGTGATGGTTGGTGAACCACAGGACCCTGACACTGCAGTCATGAGACGTTTTTTAAAGAATTACTGTCATTAACATATAAATAAATACTACTTATATGAGATGGATCTGAGAGAAAAGAAACCTGATTTGGAGAAAACAATGTTGGGTAATGTGTAAATATGGTCTCATTAATGTAAGCTTTGGCTGAACTGTGTATAAAATATTTACCCAACACAGATTGTTGGATTAAAAGGGTTGAGCCGGGAATATAGTGTGATGAAATGGATCAGGTGGGGATTGAACTTTCCTTGGGCAATAAGTACATGACAGGAATAGTGTGAACAAATATGTTTAATGGCTCTGCCTATGAAGTCCCATCCACCAGGAAAATAAAGGAAACACACTCCAAGTCCTCTTTTAAGTTAGTTTTAGTCTTCATCAAGGCATATTGCTCTTACACGGATACATCACTGTCTAGATTAAGCAGGGGTCTGCATAAGTACAAAGATAAATGAACTAAAAACACCAAGATATTACTTTCAACTCAAGATAAGCAAGTGTACTTCCACACCAGATGTATTACTTTGTTTTAGCACAGCACTTATTTTTAGCATATATTTGTACATGTCCATACAGTGTGTTCACCCACCAACCTAACGCCTTTGCGTGTTTGTGTGCCCCTGCAGAGTAAAGTGATGGGCTGTGACCGCTGTAGGGACCTGTTCACGACCCTGGGGTCCCTCCAGGCTTCGTCCCCCGGGAGAGACCACACATCCACAGAACCCATGGACGAGGAGAAGGACGGACTGAAGGAGCAGCTGAGGCATCTGGAGCTGGAGCTGGCTCAGACCAAACTGCAGCTGGTGGAGGCCAAGTGCCGCATGCAGGTGAGCAACACCATGGAGGACAGGGGTGGAAATACAAATAGCAACAGAGATGTCAAGGCTGTGGCACTACTCCCTCAGAAAATGCATATAATATGAAGATTTAAAGTTAGTATATAAAGAAAGTGTGTAAAAAAGGTAGAAACATAGACACCAAACACAAACAAGGTAATATTCATGCTAGCTAGCTTTATTTAGGTACAGCAACGCTTGAAGCTAAATGCTAACTTCCACATGCGCATAGTAAATAAGTCAAAATGCAGATTTTTTTGCTGATTCTTAAAACACAAGCATTTTAACTTGTCTTATTGTAGCATGCTAGCAGGCTAACACGTGTAGAACACAAGCACAGCTAAGGCTGATACTAAAGCTACTAGTATTGGACAAATACAAAACTTGACCCGAGGAAGGAGCCTCAGTATTGTACTCTATGATCATACTGTAATTGAGATATATTTCTGAAGGGTACATTGACACCTACTACATTTTGTAACAATCCAACCACTAGTTTTTCATACATTTCACTAAAAACAAAACTTTTAAATTCATAACATAACAAAGAAGTGAGACACTACAAAAAAAAACCTTCCACCCAATCCATAAAAAAAGTACATGCAGCTGCTGAAACTTAGTTGATACACCAAGAAGACGGGCCATTCAGTGTTTATCAGAATACACAGCTGCATTGAAAAGACTATCTGGCTTCCTTTTTGAATTGTCAATTGCCATAAAGTGCTTAAAGCTGATGGAAATATGTTTAGCAGCTGAACAGTCCGGATCACATGTTGTTAGACTTGGAGCTAAACAAATGATAAACTTCTGTCTCTTTGCAGGAGCTGGAGCACCAGCGGGGGGTCCTGATGAACGAGATCCAGGCAGCCAAGAACTCGTGGTTCAGCAAAACTCTGGGCTCCCTGAAGAGCTCCTCCTCCTCTTCCTCCAGCTCCACGTCCCAGGCCCCCTCCTCTCCGAAGGAGGGGCCTGCCTAAACAAACCCTCCCTCCATATCTCCTTTCCCTGCAGGATGCACACTAGAGCTGAGGAACAAAAGTTGAAGGAACAAGCGGCGGAGAAATGCAGTATTCTTTTTCCAGCAGGTGGCAGCGCAGAGCTCGCCAGCTTCTTGGACTGCAAACAGCTGAAAATATGAGGGAGGAAATGGGCGGATGACTGCTTCCTGTTTCACTTAATGTTTACGTTTGAGGGAACAAAACGTAAACGTCACAGGTGACAGGCGAGGGTGGATCATCATGAGGCTCAGCAGCCGTTATCTACACGTTTATTGTTGAGTTCTCATTATAGGAAAGCTGGGTAAACACAATTGCTCTTATTGGTGTATTATTTAGCTCCGCCTTGTGACCAGATATTGCTACCTGTTAGTTCATTTATCTGTGTGAAATTAGGATTTGTGTAGCTGAAAATTACAATCAGTCTCACAATTTACATAATATTTTCAATGAGTGAAACAGCTACAGGTGCCGATATATTACACGTTTAATGCATAGATATGTAGAGACCTTCAGCGCAGCAAAGCTACAGCACTCTGAAAAAAGAATACTGCATTCAGTCTTAAACAAAAACAACACAAAAAGTTGTATTTCTTTATAGTAATATAACGTTAATAATGTTGTCATATAAATATGTATAACTAATTATTGATTTTTGTAATAATCTTGTACAGTTCAGAAAAAAAAGAAAAGTTCTTTGTTTTTGTTTTTTTTACCGTTTGGAAATTGAATGTCAACTCCCTAGATGTTGGTAAGCACAGTCGGTCGAGTCCAAACGCTGAAGACCCACAGTGACAGCCTGCAGAGAGCTTGATGTCACGGGTTGAACTCATGGTGTGAATTATCACTAAACGCGCATGCAGCCATACATTAGTTCACAGTTGTGGTGCCTGCAGAAATGGGCTCTTTTTGAGTGAATGTCTCCAAAATGTTTTTTTTAAATAACTGGTTGTAAATTTGAAAATGTTTTTTAAATTCATTTGTTAATGTTATTGTTTTAGAGTGCACAGTTTGTCTTTGGAGTGTGCAAACAAGCAGTATAGTTGGAGGTAAAAGGACTTGTGATTTATTTCTGGCATTGGTTATTTTTACAGGCTTTAAAAAAGGCTTTTATTGATCTAGATAATCCATCACAGTAGGAGGAACTGATTATACCTGCCTGTGTTACGTAACGCTGTGCAGACAACACCTACAGAAAGTACTCAAAGTACCTGTTCATACCTGTTACTGTTATCCAACTTCCCTGTAGATATAGAGCCAGTGCGTTAAATTAGGTAACTCTAACGTTCAGTATGCTCTAAAGTATCTGTTACAAAGCACAGTCCATCCCTAAATAAACACCTAGCAAAGCATAAATAAGCAAAATTAAGCTGCACGTTCCCCCCCGTCATTGCCAAGCAGTCTCAGGCCATTTTGCACAGCTGTGCCAACACCTTGATTCCCTCTGTCTGCTTATAATGACACCATTTTTAATTGATTGTTTACACAAAGATTGAACTAGGCATGTTTATACCTGAATCTTTCCTGTGCTCAGTTGCTGTGCTAACTATTCAGAATAAACTGTATTAAATGTTACCAGCCAACTAGTTATTTCTTGAAATTGAGAACTTATAAACCCTAACTCTTAAAATGTAGCGAGCTTTATTTATGTACAGGTAATTCTCTCAGTAAAATAAATTCATGTATGCTTGACATTAATGCAACAAGGGACTACTAACTTTAAGAACTAAATAAATGAAAACAAACAACATACATGTTCTACTTATTACTACATTGCTGCTTGCTAATAACAATATTAGGATTGAGGACCACAGCCACGACACAAGGATGATTCATTGTATGTGTACTCGGTTGAAAAATAACAAGAAATTGCCAAAAAGTCTGTGTAGCTTTAACATGTATGTTAGTGCTGTGTTAGCAGAACGCTGCAGTGTAGGTGCCAAATATCCCCATTGATTATCCACTGCTGTTGTCACTGAAATGAGCCTTTGGACTCGGACCAAGCCCATGTGTAGTTGTGTGTGAGTGTGTAATTGGCTGTATATGTTCTTGTGTGTTCTGCACTGTAAGCTAAGTGGTTGAAGTTGAAATGGTTTCTTCTTCACATGGCTGCCTTTTCTGTTGATGACTGAAGCCGTTGCCTGAGGAGAGAGAAGCCATCTGACAGTTTGTAATGTCGGAGAGTGTCTGCGGTGCGATAAGAGCGTCCCCTCTGCTCCGTCCCCATGTCATCTGATTGACAGATCTGCTTAATCTCATTTTCAGCAGTATGCTTGACACATTTCCACCGAGAGCCCCCCAGTACGACCATTGTCCTCTCACTGGCGGCCTCTGTGGAAATGCATCAATATCATGGCCAGGGAGAAAAAGGAATCATTGAATCCCATGTGTTTTGCATTTCCAGGACATTCCTTCTTCACAATCGTTCATCATTCAAAGTCCTACAACCGGTTAAATGTAAACTGTGGGCAAGTTGTCTCATGTGCACTAACACAATGTTGATATTTTAAACACTATTTCAAGATGTACGTTTGTTTAAAAGTAATCCTGAGCACAGAGCATAATTATTTTTTAACTGATGATTTAATGTCGCAGAGAGGACAGATGCCAATTTATAATCCACTCAAATTCATTTCATTTGTAACGCCTACAAGAGCAGGTGGGGAGTCGCGTTAGAGGTGTGTGTGTTACACAGAGAGGGACTGGTCCGACTCCAACACTGTTCACTGTACAGTAACTGTCTGATCCGCATTAATAAATCTCAGTTTTTCTGTTCATGCACTTTGGGCTCTTATTGAAGAACAAAATGTTTACTTTAGTTATTGATTATGGACAGCTTAAATCATGTTGACTATTAAAACTGAGATATTTTCCCCTCCTTAAATAATGTTATGAAAAAAAGTTAACTTAAATGACTCAACTGAAAACGACGATTCTTTGATGATTGTATAATTTATTAGTGCGTAATTGATGTTTAAAATGATGACACTACTCCTACAAACATAACATTTTAAATGTAGTCTTTACTTCCTTTACCAAATTTAAAACTAAAGAGTTTATGTTAATTATATGCGTTTTGAAATACCCTTATTGGTCACTTGGCTTGTTCATGAAACAATTGATTCAAATAAAAATGTCGACCACAGCACATCTTAATCTGTTCCAAATCAGGGAATAACTGAGCCTCACCTTCATGTGCCTTCATTAGGAGGTGTGTCCTGATTGGATAATTGGACAACATGCTGGACATTATGAGTTTGATTTTTAACCCATTTTCTGTAGAGAATTTGTTTTGGTTTGTTTGAGTTATTTTCAGGACTCACTCATTAGTAACCAAACCATTATCTTATTAAACTGCCACACAACCAAAACATCTCTAAATATCAGCCTCGGGTTAGTTGTCACATCTCACAGCCCCTCGCTGACATTTGCACATTGTACTTTGGGTCAATTGAATTTTAAAGAGCCAACAAATTAAATAAATGTGGATCTCAGTGTTTGTGCGCACTACTACTTTTAATTAGTTTATTCATTTTAGTGTACATTTTGTATTACCACACATATAATAATTGTATTTTTGAAGGGGGTTATTGGAATTCTTCGACACATTTTAGCGACAAAACTTTTGTTTTCGAAATAACAAAAAACAGGTCCAATTGCAATTTGTGTTGCAGTTATAGGTCGCATTGCAATTGTTACCCTCACAAAGAGCGTGTATCAGCCAATATAACAAATTATTTCTGTAGAAACAAATCCATGACTGAACATGTTAACTGTTTATTTTGCACTGCATCACCTTTCACCATGTGTGCACTTAGCAGTCAAAGCTTACAAGGATTGCTGAAACAACGTCTAATGTAACACTCATATTGTGTGGAAAATTGAAAAAACGAAACAATAAAGCAGTAAAGAATAAATGATCATAGCTATATATAGTAATATCTGATAATATGTTAGTAAGTCAAACTTATGGTTAAATGTACAACTGAATGAGCAAAGATTGTACTGTAAATAAGTCGTTGCACCATTTAATGAAAAAATTAAATAGCACTCTATCATGTCATAATTTCTACTCATGAAGTGACTTGAAATAGAACAGATATGTGACCATTTGGATCAGCTTATGATGTTTTGAACTCTAGTTTCTAAAGAAGAAAATGGGAGTTGCACGCAACAGTTTCCAACTGAAAATTAGAAACTGTAATATCCTTATTTCACTTAAACTTGGCAAATTCCCTGAATGTGATGGACATTTCATTACAGTTGGACAAATAAAAACACCTGCTGCACAAATACTTGCTACTCTTTCGGGGTCGTCACACTTCCATGTTGCTGACTTTGTCACTAATGTCATCAAAGTAGTTGTCTGTGAAACGAAGCATCTGGATGATGGCGCTCAGCAGCAGGGTAGTGCAGTCCGGGTCCAACTCCAACTCCTCGCAGTAGTTCTTCACGGGAACAACACAGGACAGCGACACACCGAGACGAGCGCTGACCTCCTGCATCTGAATCACAAAAGGTTTAAATTAAACTAGTTCATGCCTTTTTCTAAAGACAACAAAGAATGATGTCTGCTTTTGTGAAATCACAGCTAAATGTTGTTTGCATTTGTCTGTTCAACATCGTAAAAGGAGTTGTAAAAGACATGCAGAAGAGAAAGACTCAAATTATTGTTAAAACCATCTTCAATACATTTACGGTCAATATCATTTTAATCAGCCTGATTAGATCACACAAACTTAAGGATATAAATAATCTTTGACTGGCTTGTCAGCCTATATATCTTGTTATTAAGGTAAAAAATTAATTGGGAGGACTTCCGGTTTACACATGAGGCGATAAGCAGCTAAGAAGAGGAGCTCCCGGCCAAATAAGTTCAAAAAGGAAGAAAACCCCAATAAATGTGATTCGAAGTTGGAAGAATAGGTCATGAGCAAATTAGTAAATAAGAAAGGAATGGAGAAAAAGACGAAAGCCGAAAAACAGCCGGGAGAGATGCAGGTCCAGATGGAACACAGTCAGCCGCTAACGGCTAACGCTAAAGCTAGCAACGACGAGCAACCTAGCTGGGTGTCGGCGCTGCAGACTAGCTTAGATGCCATGCGGGATAAACTCGAGAAAGCCCAGCACAACATGGATGCTAAACTGGATCAAATTGGCAGCCGGATGGAAGAAAATCTAAGAGGAGTACGTGAAGAAATGGGACAACTGAGAGAATATATGGACAAACACGGAGAAGATATGAAGCAAGGGCTTGATAGCTTCAGAGAGGAAACAAATAGAACATTTCGAGCCGCTGAGGCGGGAGAGCGGCCCAAGAAGGTATGAGATCCTAGAGAGCGTACGGCTGGGGTCGAGGAGTGCGCAGTACGACGTCCAGGACATTAACGACTCTCTGATCACACAACCGCTCCAAGATAGCTGTCCGCATAGAAGGAGGTCGAGAAGAACATAATATTACGAATCTGGGGTTGAAGGAGGATAGAGAGACTCGTCCCTAGTACGTCGGACAGTTAATTCACAAGGAGCTGGAATGTCGGAGGATATTAAGTTGGAGATTCAAACGGCGGCACAGGCACCTGCTCAAAACCACAACAGACAACCCCCAAAGAGCCATTATGTCAACTTCTTGAGTTGAGTCAAGGAGAACTGTCATAAGACGGGCTGGAGAAACGCGAGGAAGGAAGCGCGAGAGGACATTCGACACGATCTATCAAGCGGCTCAAACGGTCGAAATATGCGGCCCAAGAGAAATTCTCAAGATAAGGGATTCGTTTTCAATCCCAATGGACAACTGAGTGTTTACTGGAACGAAGGGAACGTAAAGGTATAAGAGTGCTCAGGACGCGGCGAGGCGATGCGCCAGATGAGGGCTTGCAGGCCGGACCCGGAGTAGAGACCTACGCTGCTGGCAGAGACTGGAGGCAGAAGTACAACGCACGCTAGACGCACAATTGTTCAGAACATTGAACATACACTCGAGTGACTAGAATCACAGATATAGAGAGATGTACACAAACGTAATTAGAGGACTACAACACACTACTCAACCCACTCAGTCTGATTCTAGACTAGATTACTTTTTATGTAGAAGGGAGATAAATATAGTAGAGACTGTAGATAGACTGAGTGTGGGTGTGAGTAGGTGTTTTCTCTATCTGTTGGTTGTACATCATCTCCATATATCTGTGATTCCATTTCCCTCAGTGTATGTTATGTATCTATATTTCTTTTTAGCTCGTTGTACTTGCTGCCTCCGAGTCTCTGCAGCAGCGTTAGGTCCTCAGTAAGAGTGGTTATGTTTTATAAAGAAACCTGTATGGACCTGTATGCAGCTGGGGATTATTTATCTTAACATTTTACGATTGATTCTGACTAATTTAAAGAAAGGTGGCTAGATTCACTAGAAACAAAGAATCACGCTCCCATCGGCCGAATACAGAGACTCAGCCAGGGGAGTTATACGGACTATATCAAAAATGTTGACAAAAGTTCCGGCCTGAGGAGCTCCGGAGTTTAAACCACACGCTTGGATAATTGTACGTGAGCTTGGGAGATCGCCACAGGGAGAGATCTCCGCCACTAGGGGGGCCCTCTCACTAGGACAGGCCTTACCTTCCACCCACCCGCGTGGGAAAGGGTGATATTTTTAAACCCCGGAACCTGGAGACCAAGTTCTGATGTTTAATTTGTATTTGTTTCTTAGGCGGTTTCTGCAGACGTGTGTACCTTGTGTTCTCTCAACTTAGACTACTGCATGCAACAACCTCGAAACGATGCTCCCCTCATCCCATCCTATTTATGTTTGTGATCCGCGCAGCGCGAAGCGGCAAGATCTTACCGCGTGCATGGGCGATCCGCTTTACCGCCCAACGGTGCTCTGCAGAATGGCAGATCAACAATGTCCTGCTACGCCCTAAAGGTCGAAGGGTCTTGGTGAACCTGCCACAATTCGATTAAGAGGGAGCAGGTTACTTATGCAACCACTCACCTAATCCGTACAAGACATGGAATATACTGAGAATGAAAGGTGGATGGATATAAC